GAAAAGTTTAATCCCGGTCTGGACAACTCAATGAGACACTGCATCAAAAATAAAAGTAGGTGTCAGGGATTTAGCTCAGTGGTGCCGCCACCTGCCTCACAAGCGCAAGGTCCCTAGTTCAATCCTCGGTACCAAAAAATTTTTTTAATTTTAAAAAATTAAAAAATAAAAGTAAAGGGATTTAGCCTGGGTATGGTGATGCACGCCTGTAATTCCAGCACTCGGGGGACTGAGGCAGGAGGATCGCTGTGAGTTCAAGACCAGCCTAGTGGGCTACATAGTGAGTTCCAGGTCAGTCTCAACTATACAGTGAGATCCTGTCTCAAAAAAAAAAAAAGTAAAGGGATTTAGCTCAGTGGCACTACAAGTACAAGGTCCTGAGTTCAATCCCAAGTATTAGAAAAATAAAATTAAAAAAACAACAACAAAATAAAGGTAAAAAGAGATGGAGATGTAGCTCAGTGCACAGGTCCTGGGTTCAATCCCCAGTACTGAACAGGGGGAGATGGACTATGGTTGGGAGATCCCTGGTTTGTAAAAGGACTGCAAACAGAGTGCCTCTTGGTTATGGAATATTTTCCATTAGTACTGATAAAGACGAAAGCCCTTGATAACAGTGATCTTGCTCCTGTGGAAAAGTCAGCTTAACTTAACCAAGCAGTTTCCTTAAAACATACAGAAAATACTTAATTAGATATTTGCTCCATCAATTGACTTCAACCCATTTGAATCAGAGGTGGAATAAAATTAAAATTTTTAAACTCAGTGGTTGAGGCTGAGTGAGTCATTCAAGACCCCAGGTTCAATACTCAGAACTGCAAAAAAAAAAAAAAAAAGTTAAGTAAATTCATAAAATTCTTACAGAAACAGAGATTAATGCCCACCTTGTTGTTCCAAGAGTGATATCTAGACATTTACACCCAATGTTTTATAACTTGATGCCACTAAAAGAACATATTATAAAAACAAACCAACTCTGGAATGAAGAGGGAACCAGCACCATTTCTGAGAAATTCAAAACAATACTGGAGAAAAGGCAGAGATTGCAGTAAATGTGGAGATGACCTAGTGGTAGTATTAGCGTTGTTTTCTTAGAATGTTACATGTATAAAGTGGGATAAAGTGAGTAACCTAGGAATACTCTAATTCTACCATCTCCCAGTTCTTACAGAGCCAGGATTCTCAATGTGGAAAAGTGATAAAGATGTAATAAAAAGTAGTTTAAAACTATCACGTTAACTCATGAGATAATTTACTTCAAAAAAATTTCTTCCCTGTTCATTGAAGAGCTACAAGAGCTCAATGACCAAATTAGTAACAATAAATATCCTCAGTTACCAGATTTAAATCACTAAATACCACTTCCCAGTAAAACAAGGAGACATGGGCCAGGGATTTAGCTCAGTAGTGCTACTAACTGCCTGGAAAGCGCAAGGTCCTGAGTTTGATCCCTGGTACCAAAAAAAAAAAAAAAAGGAGACCTTAGAGCAACGGCTGATTTCAAGTAAAAGCAGAAAATGTACAAGATAAGTCTGGAGTATTTTGTCCTAACAATTTATAAAGACACTGCCAATGATTACTAGGACCATGTTCCGAAGTACTCAAGAGCCAAACTGAAGCAACTTGCTCTAGCCAAAGACGGGCTAATATGAACTTCAAAAACAGTTAACCAAAGCCTAGCAAATGTTTAAATCACTAAGTTTATAATGATATTTTTAAAAATACTAATCATTCACCTTTGAAGGATGATGGGTAATCAATTATCTTAAAAATTGATAAATTGAGGGCTGGGCATTTAGCTCAGTGGCACTCCACCTGCCTTGCAAGCACAAGGTCCTGAGTTCAATCCCCGTTTTACACACACACACACACACACACACACCCCTGATAAATTGAGCCAGGAACAGTGAGTTCATGACCAGCCTAGGCTACACAGTAAATCCAAGGCCAGCCTGAACTACATAGTGAGAGCCTGTCTCAAAAGAAACCATCTATAAAGAACTATCATTCTATCAAACTTAAAATTTCCAATTTTCAAAAACTATGAGCAAGGAATGGTGGCACACACCTGTAATCCTAGCATTCTGGGAGGCTGAGACAGGAGGACTGCAAATTCAAACCCAGTCTGGAAAACTTAGTGATACCATTGGTTGGTTTGTTTGTTTTTTGGTACCAGGGATAGAATTCAGGTCCATGCGCTTGCAAGGCAGACTGCGGAACCACTGAGCATTTTAAATTCCCAGCCCAACCTTTTTTTTTTTTTTTTAAGAAATCCCACTATGTAGTTCAGGCTGGCCTTGATTTCACTATGCAGCCCAGGCTAGTTTTGAACTCACTGCTTTTACTCCTGCCTCAGCCACCAAGTGCTGGGATTATAGGTGTGCAGCACCACACCCAGCTGAGACCTGTGACCTTCTTTAAAGCTAAACAATTAAAAGGGCTAGGAAGATCAGTGGGAAGCCCTTGGTTCAATTCCTAGTACCAAAAAAGTCACAAAAAGAGAATTTCTATTTTATTGTTCAGAAAGGATCAGTTCTACTCCATACTGTCCCCCTAAAATATTTTACCCAAGCTTATACTGCTTGCCAGTGTTACAGGATTCTATTAGGTGTCTACTCTCCATTATTTATCAGGCAGCCTTGCAGAGAGGGAAAAAGCTACTTTAAATCTAAGAATGCTGCAATGGCAGTGTATAGGCTGATGATATGTAAGCCACAAGAAGGAAAGGAGGTAAAGAGAGATATTTCTGTCATTCATTAACTGAGACAATGTCAAGGATTGGGACACTGAGAATACACAAGCCACATTAAAGACCTGGAAAACCTGCGAGAGTCTGAAATGAAAAGAGGTACACAGAAAAATGTAAATTAAGCTGGGTATACTGACACATCCCTATAATTCCCAGCACTTGGGGAGGCTAAAGCGAGAGGATGGCAATTTTAAGGCTAGCGTCAGCAATTTAGTGACTTAGTGTCTAAAAAAAAAAAGGAGGAAAAGAGCTAAGAATGCAGTTCAGTATGAAGGTGCTAGGTTCAGTCGCCAACACCTCTCCCAAAAACTAGAAAGATGGAAACGAGTGTTGGGGCAAGAGAGACTTACAAGGTGAAAAAAGTCAGTAGTACATAAAGAAAATTATCAGAATTCTAAAGCAGGAAGAATATTTGTGCAAAGAAAATGGTCTGAGAATCTACTTCATTGTTACAGCACTTGACTAGCAGGGCAAGACCCTGGGTTAGATCTTCAGAACCAAAAAAAAAAAAGACATAAAATTATAAGCAAATATTACACACTAGGTAATGATATGCATGCTGAAGTGTCTAGGGGTATAGTTATAGTATATTAATGTCTAAATAAAACAGAAAATAAACAAGAACCAAGATATATCACGTAAAGGTATAAGATCTCAATGATAAATGCAACTGTATTTTTTGCTTTGAATGCACCAATAAATTTAATGAAAAAAGAAAGAAAGAAAATACGCGAGAATAATAGCTGGCTAAAGATATAATAAACAGAGAAAAGGTAATTGTGAATATGAGTGTCAACTCATAAATTTTGTTAAAGTATTTTCATAATAAAATGTAGGAGGTAGATATTTGAGCAGATGGAAAAAGAAGCCCTGAAGGAAGGCCATTAAATTAAGAGGGTTGGGAGGGAAACAATTAAACAATCAAAAACAAGGTGAAGAATGGTGGCACACACCAGTACTCCAAAGGCTGAGACAGTAAGATCCCCATGACTGCAAGCTGAAGGCCAGCCTGGGCTACACAGTGAGTTCAAGGCCAGGTGGAACTACATAATGAAACCCTGTCTCAAAAAAAACAATCTGGGAAAATGAAATCATGGACCACTTGTAGAAAATCACTCAATCGGTACATGAGTATCACTTCAAAAATGTGCCTGGTTCAAGACAATACAAGATAGATCAAGGTAAGGCTGGGGACGTAGCTCAGTGGCAAAGCACATACAATCACGAGGGCTTGGGTTCAATCCCCAGTACTGCAAAAATAAAAGACAAAAGCTAAGGATTCTGACTGAAATCCTTCTCAAAAAGTATTTAAAACTCACAAAGGGTGGCGGGGAAAGAAGAGCAACAAAGATCAGCTCTACAGGTAGTGATTTCTGTTGGTTTTGCAGTGCTGGAGATGAAATTCATAGCCTTGCACTTGCCAAGCAAGTACTCCAGCACTGAGTTACACCCCCAACCAAAGGCACTGATAAACTTCATAACTGCCTGAGAATTATTTGTGCTTTGTAAATGCATACAATTAATAAAAACAAGTCTTCCTTGACCTTATTAAGATATCCCATAAAATGTTAACAAAAAAGCTCTTGCCGGGTGTGGTGGTGCAGCCTGTAATCCCAGCACTCGGGAGGCTGAGGCAGGAGGATAACCGTGAGTTCGAGACCAGCCTGGGCTACAATGTGAGTTCCAGGTCAGTCTCAACTACATAGTGAGACCCTGTCTCAAAAAACCAAAAAAAAAGCTCTTCAATCAACAGAACCTGTTCGTTTTAAAATGAAGTTATTAATAGCCTCATGAATGCTAAGCACAAGCTCTACCACTGTGCTATACCCCTAACCCCTACGTGTTCCTATATTTTCGTTTTTATATTGTTTCTCCCATACATTTCTAACTATAAAGTCACTATTCACTGCCATATGTAAAAACTAATTACTGATTTACTGAAAAACCTAGCTGTTTCAGCATATGACTCAGTCTTTGCATTTCCCTGCAATGATGTCAAGTTTTATTCCTGAATACAAACTAAACTTCTGAAAGAATAGCTGATAACATGTAACAGCTGTAAATAGCACAGTATTGCAACACTAGCACTAGCACATTAAGAAATTCTAAATTTCAATCAGAACATTAAATTATTTTTACTTTCATACAAATACCCTTCTCAGTCAAGAAGAAAATTATGTATTCAATAAACAGTTAAATATTGGATATACAAAGCACCAAACATAAATTAAGAGTATAATAGGGAAGTTACCAGGCTGAGCTCTAGAAGTATCAAGAGGTCTGTACAGCTTGGGAAAAAAAAAGAGGAAAAAGCAGGGTCAACTGGTAATTCTAGGTTAAAACAAGGTTAGTGTACCCACCCCATTTCTGACATCCATCAGGCCAACTCTCAGATTGAAAGAAAGTTTGGCCAAGAAAATGAGCATTACTGTCTTTCTCTATATTGCTCATCCATTCAGATGACTTATCAAAAAGCTAACCTATTTACACAATAAAATGTGCTGACAGCTTTTCTACTAAGCCAATTTTTTATTGGATTTGACACCCAGAAAATGTGGAAAATATAACAAACTAGGGTCACTTTTTTAAACCATCATTATTCCCAACACCAAAAATAAACATTAACACAATCTACCAGCCTTTTTTTCCTTCAATGTTCAATAATTTTGCTCTAATTTGAGGTCTTTTCTCATTTGAACAAAACCAATGCATTTTCAATAACATTTTGAATTATAATTTTCAAATATTTAAATCACCTAATTTACATGGGATATACAGTAAGAATAAAGGTTACCACCTCTTGATCATGATCATGTATAATTTCTAATTCTTACAATTATCCTGTAAATATTACATGCCATTTTATATTTTTAAAGAGTTTGTATGTCCCCAAGACACTAGAGAAACACTAACCCAGTGATAAAACTTGATCATTAGGCATATGAAACAAATTCAGTGACTTAGGAAGACTGTCTCAAAATAAAAAATTGAAAAATAAGAGCCAGGGATTTAGCTCAATGGTTCTGCCACCTGCCTTGGAAGCCCAAGGTCCTGAGTACAATCCCCGGCACCAAAAAAAATAAGGGCCAGGGATTTAGTTCAGTGGTTCCATGCCACCTGCCTTGCAAGTGCAAGCACCAGAGTTTGATTTCTGGTACTGAAAAGGAGACACACAAGCATTCTCATTCTTTGGGCCAGGGATTTGGTTCAGTGGTTCTGCCACCTGCCTTGCAAGTGCAAGGGCCTGAGTTCAATCCCTGGTACCCCCAAAAAATTTAAAAATAAAAGGGATGGAGATGTAACTTGGTGGAAAGACCCCACATTTAATCCCTCCACACACAAACACTTCTATGGTATTTCTATCAAAAATGCATTATCTAACTTCAATCATGAGAAAATATCAGATAAATTAGAAGACATTGAACAAAATAACTGGTCTATAGTCTTCAAATATGTCAATGTCATGGAATGTTAAGGAACAGTACAACATACAAAGAGACTATGGGGCAGGTTTGTAGCTCAGTGTTCAGAGTGTATGCTTAGCATGCACTAGACAGGAGACTGAATTCTCAGCATAAAACAACAGAAAGAGACAGACTTAAGAGAACTAGTCTAAATACAGTGCGTGTTCAAGGATTTAGCTAAAGCCAGGCGTGGTGGCACATACCTATAATCCTAGCACTCAAGTGGGAAGCTGAAGCAAGAGGATTGCTGTGAGTTTGAAGCCAACATGGACTACATAGTGTGTTCAAGGCCCACCAGAACTACAGAGCAAGACCCTGTCTCAAACCTTCCCCCAAAAAAGGACTTAAGATAAAAAAGACACTACTAAAACAATTTGGTTTTTTTGGTTCTGGGGATCAAACTCAGGACCTTGTGCTTGTGAAGCAGGTGGCAGAACCACTGAGCTAAATCCCCAGCCCCTTATATATTAAGACAATTTGGATAAATATAAATGAAATGTTCTTTTATATCAAAATAAGACTTTGGAATAAAATGGCTGGGTGTGTTACCTCAGTGGTAGAGCTCTTACCTAGTAAAGACAAGGCCTTGGGAGTTCAATCTCTAATACAGAGTATAGAGGATGGGAGAGTGTCGGGGACACAGATGAACAGTCTCTTTCAGCATGCAGCTTGGATAGGTCATTTCAAAACACCTCTACCACCAGACATTTAGAAGTAGGCATCAAAATCTTACCCAATAAAGCCACTTTGTTCCCAATTTAAGGTTACTTCCTTAGAAATCACTTCCCAAATAAGAATGGGATTAATGAAAAAATAAGCATATAATTTTTCTTTTTGTTCCCCCTTTTTTTAATGGTGCTAGAGATTGAACCCCGGACCTCATGCATGCTACGCAGGCACTCTATCTCTGAGCTATACCCCGAAGCACAATATGAAAGCGCTCTCTGATAAATAATACAGCTCTTTTGAAAAATTCTCGAAATACTTTTACAAAAAGGAGTATTAAAAACCTGATGATCAGCCAGACACGGCAGGATACACTCCGTAGTTCCAACTACTCAAGAGGCTAGAGTAGGAAGATGGCTTCAGCCTAAGAGTTCAATGCCAACCTGGGCAACACAGCAAGAACCTATCTCAAAAGCAATAAATCTGGTAGGGCTGGAGATTTAGCTCAGTGGTTCTGCTGTCTGCCTCACAAGGACCTGAGTTCGATCCCCAGTGCCAAAACAAAACAATAAAAACAATAAACCTGGGGCTGGGGATTTAGCTCAATGGTGCTGCACCTTTCTTGCAAGCGCAAGGCCCTGAGTTTGATGCCCGGTACCGAAACAAAAAAAATGCTATTTCAAAAAGAATAAAACAGGTATGGTGGTGCATGCCTGTAATGCCAGCATTGAAGTTAGAGGACCGCTACATAGTGAGTTGCCAAGGCCAGCCCAAAGTAGCAAAAACCTGTCCCAAAACATTCTCTCTCTCTCTATCTTTGGGATATAGGGAATGCTAACCCTCCTCCAGCCTAGAGACAGAGTCTTTGGAAATCAGCTCACTTTCCTTGGGAGGGAAGAAAGGGGATACAGTTTACATTCCCAACATTTGATTTGGCTCTCCTTCAGAAGCTCACACTTCATTTTTACTAATTTGGTAAACAAAAGAATATAATGACTGTTTTGATATTTTTTATTTTGGGTTTTTTTGAGACAGGGTCTTACTATATAGTCCAGGCTTGTCTTGAACTCAATATGGAGCCCAAGCTGGCCTCAAATTCACAAGCACAAGACCCAAGGTCAGTCCCCAGAACTAAAAAAAAAAAAAAAGAAAAAAAAAAAAATTGAGCCAGGAATGTAGCTCAGTGGTTCTGCCACCTGGCTTGCATGTGCAAGGTCCTGAATTTGATCCCCAGTACCAAAAAAAAAAAAAAGAATTACAAACACCTGACACCACTCTTAGCTTGCTTTTATTTATTTTTTGCTGTTCTTGTTAATGATTAGCAAAGGGCTGGGGATTTAGCTCAGTGGTTCTGGCACCTGCCTTGCAAGCACAAGGACCCAAGTTCGATCCCCGGTACCAAAAAAAAAAAAAAATGATTAGCAAAGCTGTACTTCTCTTTTTTCTTTTTTTGGAGACAGGGTCTCGCTGTATAGTTCAAAGCTGGGCTTGAACTCAGTATTGTAGCCCAGGCTGGCCTCAAACTCACAGCAATCCTCCCGCCTCAGCTTCTCAGTTAGTAGGACTACAGGTATGCACCACCACACCCAGCCTGTAATTCTAATTACTTCTAATTTTAACATTCCCTTTCCTTTTTTTCTTTAATTTTTGGTTTGTTTGGTTTTAATTTTTAAGACAGGGTCTCACTATGTAGTTCAAGCTGGTCTTGAACTTACTTTGTAGTCCACAGTGGCCTGGAACTTTCGGTGATCCTCCTACCAGCCTCCCAAGTACTAGTATTAAAAGCACATAGTAAAAGATAAATGGTCAGTATTAAATTTTATGAAGAACTCAAAGATAGCCAGGCATGGTGGTGCACATCTGTAATCCCAGCAATCAGGAGACTAAGGCAGGAGGATCATCTTGAGTTTGAGACCAGCCTGGGCTACATAGTGAGTTTCAGGTCCGTCTCGACTACATAGTAAGACCCTGTCTCAAAAAATCAAAAATAAATAAATAAATATAAGTAATCTGGCCCAAAAACTACAAAGTTTTTCTTCACTGGTTTCTAAATAAATACCTATTGAAGTGAGAGTATTTAGGAGCAATCACTGATACACTAGATAAAATAATAGCTAGTCTCACTTTGGATTTAATGTGATAATTAAGCAATCTATGCATTCTGCCCCTTAATGAAAATAGAGCACTATCAGGAATGCTTATAAAAAGCACTTAAAGCTGGGCGTGGTGCATTCATCTGTAACCCAGCACTCCAGAGGCTATGGCAAGAGAATAACAAATACAAGCCCAGCCTGGGCAATTTAGCAACTTAGTAAAATCCTGTTTCAAAATAAAAAGTAAAAAAAATAAAAGGTACTGGGGGTGTAGCTTAGTAGCAAAGTCTTGGATTGAATCCTCAGAACAAAAAAAAAAAAAGTATTTGTAAGAGCTAGGGATGTAGCTCAGTGGTAGAGCACAAGCCTGTCATTTGACCCTAGGTTTGAGCCCCACTACCACAAAACAAAAAATGAAACAAAACAAAAAATCTTGTACTTAACTATCAACATATCATCAAAGCATCAATGTGAAATTAGGATGGACTAGGTAAGGCTTATTTATCCACTTACATACAACCTCTGAAATGAGGTTTGCCAATCTAGTTAACAGGTTATATAATGTTAGCTTTGTACCAGATACTGTGCTTAGGGATTTGCTTGAAATGTCTAAATTCATTCAAATAAATAATATAGGGGCTGGGGGTATAGGTCAGTGATAGTGCACTTGCCTAGCACAAAAGGACCCCTGGGGTCAACCCGTAGCACTAAAGGAAAGGAGGGAGTAAAGACAGGAACATGCCCTACATGCTAACAAGTAGCTGGAATTCAGGATTATTCTCATGGAACACATCCAAATATATCTGATTCAACAGGTATATTATTATTATTATTTATACTCTTTCCTATTATTTACTATCTACTTTTAAAATACACAGTTCAAAATCCTGAGGCTATTAAAAAAGTGAACTCATGCACTAATTGCCTTAATTCTAAAACAAGACTAACAAAAATTCCATAAAAGCTTACCTGTACCACTTGTTTCTGTGATTGTGTTGCCTGTGTTGCAGAAATCTGTGTTTTTTCCCGAGCACCTCGGCAACGGTCATTGCTCACTGACGTCATCATACGCAGTATATACAAAATAATGTGTGTACAAAATAGAAAATCTGCAAGAAATTAGGTACAGTAAGGGAAACTTCCAAATCAGGGGAAAAGAGGACGTAAAATAAAACAGAAAAGCTCTCTGGAATACAAGTTTTCAAGAGACTGTTCTTTAGAATTGTAGATTTTGCTTGTAGTAATTTTTTCCTTATTATTATTTCTCTTTTAGGGATAGGTATACTAGGGATGGAATCCAGAATCTCATGCATGCTCTACCATACTCTACCACTCAACTACACCCCCTACATACCAATAGCTTTTCAAATAATTTTAATAATAAACATCCAGGATCACAGTAATTCTAAACAAAACCTCAAGCATTACTAATTTTAACTAGCACTCATTTTACCATTATACTGTATTTCTAGCTGCTCTTTTATTTGCAGGTGGATAAAATATGTCATCCAGCCAAGATTTTACCGAGCAACCAAATTTAAAATGTGATGTCAGCTGTGGCACTGAGGCCAGCCTGGGCTATGTAGTAAGTTCAAGGTCAGTCTAAACTACATAGCAAGACCTTATCTCGAAAAACAAAACCAACAAACAAAAAAATGTGAGACCAAAATACAAGTTCACCAGGGATTTAGCTCAGTGGCACCTCACCTGCCTCATAATCACCTGCCTCATAATCGCAAGGTCCTGAGTTGGATCCCCAGGGGTGGGGGACAGACAAGCTATTATTCAGCTGAGGTACAGCTAAGTGGTAGAGCACCCTGGGTTCAACACAGAAGGGTTACACCTAAGGGACAGGCTATACCTAACAGAAAAAAACAAAAAACAAAAAAACCACAAAACTACCTGTAGACAATAAACCTTTCAAGGAGACAAAAATGACTATACATATGTCCAGCAAAGTAACTTCCAGAGCCCAGGATGGCGGCACACCTTACTTAAGATTAAGATGGTCAAGGAAGAGGATCACTTAAGGCCAGGAGTACCTTGCCAGACTTTGCAACATAATGCAATCTCCATCTCAAAAAAAAAAGCTGGCCCATGTCTATAATCCCAGCAATGAGAGAGGCTGAGGACAAGGATCATAAATTCAAGTACCTCCTGGACAACTCGAAAGACCTAGTCTCAAAAAATAAAAAGGGCTGAAGAGTTCACCTGTGTTCAATCCTCCGAACCAGGAAAAAAATACACCTGCCAGAGATAAAACTGAGATTTTGCAGAACAAGCATAGGGAGAAAAAATGTGACTAAAATCCTCTGGAAAAAGAGTTCACAAAACACGAAGTTAAGGATATATATGATTCAACAAATAAACTTACTGCTTTTGTTGTAGTTGTTGTTGCTTTAATTTATTTAAACAGTATCTCTCCAACTCACTAAATTGCCAAGGCTGGGCTTGAACTTCTGATCCTCCTACCTCATCCTCCTGGAGTGTTGGACTACAGGCATGTGCCACCATGCCTGGCTTATAAACAAATTTCCTTTTTTTTTTGGTTCAAGCTGCCCCTTAACTCACTATACAGTCCAGGATGGCCTCGAACTCCCAGCGATCCTCCTGCCTCAGCCTCCCGAGTGCTGGGATTACAGGTGTGAGCCACCATGCCCAGCATAAACAAATTTTCTTACATTAATTTACATAAAATTAACTTTCTGGTGGATGGATTAACTTTTGGCACAGGGATGGAACCCAGTGCCTTGTACATATAACCTGAAAACTCTACCCTTGAGCTATATCCTCCTAGCAACACAAAAACGGAAAAGCAAGCAGAATTGCTTCCACAACAAGAACCTATTTGCCAAATCACAGGAATTCAGTTTACACTTGTTCCCTCCCTCTTATCACTCTCTACCCTAAAGAGCTCTACTACTCTGAAAAACCCAAGAGTATTCTTAGAATAGAAACAGACGAGAGCAAGAGATTCTAAAAATAATCCAGCAGCAACTGAAACATACATATCTCAGGTTCCTGAGCCGCAAGAGGCACCAGGTTACTCCAATCTATCCAATTAAATTTTAAAACCCTTATTTACTTCACCGTAGTCAAACTTAATTAACAATGTGATAGATTTTTAACACAGATAAGAGCTGCTACCACAGCAGTACTGAGGATTGAATCAAGGGCCTTTGCCTTGAGCTATATCAGCCCCCCTCTTTTTTTTTTTAAGACGGGGGTCTCACTCATGTAGCCCAGACTGGCATAGAAGTCCCAACAATCTTCTGGCCTCCGCCTCCCCAGTGCTGAGTTTACAGGCCTGTGCCACTAAACCCAGCTTTAATTTTTTTTTTTTTTTTTTTTTTAGTCAGTGTCTTGCTAAGTCACTAAGTAACCCCAGCTGAGTTTGAATTCATCTTCCTGCCTCAGTCTCCCAAATGCTGGGATTAATGGTTTGCATCATCAGGCCCAGCTTAGGAAGGATTTTAATAGCAAAATGAATGCCTTTTTCAAACAAAATAAAATTCTTTTTTTTTTTTTGAGACAGGCCTCATGTAGTTCAGGCCTTGACCTCACTATTTAGCCCAGTCTGGCCTCAAACTTGTGGCAATTATCCTGCCTCAGCCTCCCACGTGCTGGGAGTATAGGTGTGCACAATCATGCCTGGCTCAAACAAAATATAAATCAGACAATATGAACTATTTATTGAGCTTAGAGCTCAACCATTAAAAACAATATATACAGCCGGGTGTGGTGGCTCACACCTGTAATCCCAGCACTCAGGAGACTGAGGCCAAAGGATCACTGTGAGTTCGGAGACCAGCCTGGGCTACATAGTGAGTTCCAGGTCAGTCTCAACTACATAGATCCTGTCTCAAAAAAACAAAACAAAAAACAAAAAACAAACAAACAAAACAGTATAACAGTAGCTGATGTCCAGAAAGTAAGTCTCCATCAAGAATACCCATTTAGGGGGAGTTGGTGCTTGTAGTCTCAGCACTCAGTAGGCTGAAGCATGAGAATCTCAATCAAGTGAAAGCCCAGCCTGGACTACAAAACAAGAACCTGTCAAAAAAAAAAGAATAAGCAAGAGAGCAAGAACAAGGAGGAGAAGAGCAGAGCAGAGCAGAGCTCAAATGAAATGCCATGTTCACTCCATCATGAAACTAATGTCATGAGGACTATCTCTCAGACTGGCAAGGATTGGTCCAGGGTCTTTCAACTATTCAAATGTTCTCATTCCCTAAAGTCTAAAGCTCGTAAAGAATAATAGTAGAACAAACTCACATAGTTCACTATGTGATGAACACCATTTTAAGGACTTTACATACACGATACTAAGTCATGAATCTTTCCAACAGCACTTGAGGAACATATTATTACTCCCATTTTATCAATGAGTATAGCCACAGTTAGTTAAATGACAGCCTAATCCAAATGAAGCTACAGATTCAAACCTAGACTACCTGGCCCAACAGTCCACACTCTTAACCACAACTATAGACTGAATACTCCCCAATTTGGCTTCCTCTTCTACAAAGGCCCAAAACTACTGTTGGCATCACTTTCATTAGCTCATACCTAATGAGAAAGATTTTGTATGGGTCAGAATCTCACCAAGCTTCCTTGCCTTCCACATACCCATAGGTGCTCCCTTTAGGAGTTTGTATCATTTATTTTGTTTTTGTTTTGTAGTACTGAGGATCAAACCCAGGGGTACTCTACCACTGAGCTATACAACTCCAGCCTTTCTTATTTCAAGACAGAGTCTCACTAAATTGTCCAGGCTGGCCTCAAATTTGCAGTCCTCCTGCCTCAGCCTCCCAAGCAGCTGGAATTACAGGTATGTGTACCACAGCCAGCTTTTGTTTGTTATTTTTGTTTACGTCCCAATCTTTGCTCCTGTTTTTTTTCTACTAAGACCCATTACTCTCAACCTTTTTCTGCAAAGGGAATTTATTTAATACATTAAGAACCTTAACTGATTTGGGAAGTCCAGAACAGCTAGCAAGAAGTCTATATGCTCAATCCAAGAAAAAAATAAAGCAACTAAGTACCAAAATACTCAACTACACCACCTAATTCCATGCAGCTCAACTGCTAGTGCCCTGCATGCCAGTAACTCTCCAAGCTGATACTTTCATTTTCCACAGCTAGGCCGTCTAGCAGCTGGTGGACAAGGCTACACTCCCACACTTGGCAGACATGGGAACCACAATGTTAGCAGCTGTCCTATGCACATAACCTTCCCATGGAAAGATGAGAGTCAGCAAACTCTTGAACATCATAGGACATCAAATTTTCTGTAGTACAGTCACATTTGTTTCCAATTACCTAAGGTGTAGGGGGGGTGGTATTTAATTGCCTACAGTTGCTTTCATACACATCCCTTTCGTTTGTTTGTTTTGAGACAGGGTCTTGCTAGTGTAGTCCAGGCTAGCCTCCAACTCTCGGCGATCCTCCTACCCCAGCCTTCCCAGTGCTGGAATTCTAGGTGTGCATCACCACACCCAACTCAGGTCCTGTCTCTATTCTGCTTTTTCAACTCTAAATTATTGGAGGGGGGCTGAAAACTGAACCTAGGGCTTCAAACATGCAAGGCATTGTGTGTGGTGGTGCATACCTGTAATTCCAGCACTCAGGAGGCTGAGACAGGAGGAGCACCTTGAGTGCAAAGCCAACCTGGGCTACACAGTGAGAGCAAGACCCTCTCCCAAAAAAACAAACATATATACAAGGCAAGTACTCTGCTACTGAGCTACCTCTCCAGCCCTTAAACTTTCTGTAACCTAGAAGCTACCTAGAATTCTTCACACTCCAATCCCTCCAAAAGTCCCTCATCATTCATAAACACTCTTCACCCTAACTTCTAACAACCTTCATTCTCCCCCTACCAAATTTTTTAAATTACACTATATTCAACACTTCACAAGACCTATTACATTGTAAAAGTACTGGGGGAGAGGGTTTCCTTTGTTTTGTTTTGTGGAACTGGAGTTTGAACATAGGTCCTTGCACTGAGCTACATCCCCATGTACACCAGCACACCCAACAAGTATATTTTACTGCTGTGTACAATGCTTTGTAATCCAAGAATCTGGGGAGACTTAGACAGGAAGAA